CCTTTATGCCAACTAAACTATCCTAAAGACTGACGTATACACTGGTTTTTATAGGGTTATCTGAAAACCTGCATTGTCAAGTCTAATTTTTCAGTTGCTGATGAGGAGTCAGAAACAACTAAATCTGTTTTTTTTTCTCCATTATTCCCCTTCTACACAGCATCTGCATTTCCCAGAACAATATCTCCATTCAACCCTCTAACGCCCAGTCTGAGTGTTTATCTCACCCTCCATCTGAGGTGAGGCTTTGCGTGTCAGTGGCGTCCTCGGTGGGTACTGGGGGAGGGGGCAGCAACATGTCCAAAAGATGTAGTGATGCTGAGTAATGCAGCAGACGAGGACAAGCCACAGGTTTACCACTGTCTGGATGTCCACCTGGATACACCATAACAAACGATAGCAAAGTATAATTATCCAATAATTCCTTTTATTCCAGATTCTATAAGCATCATTTTAAATTTCAGGACTACAAAAAAGTTTGATCTGTGTACAAAATGTTTCTTACACATCCACTAGGTTTGTGGACAATAATGATTTAATTACACAGATTTAAAGTACCGTGCTGGAAAGCTGGTATGTGACTATGTCCCTGGGTTCTTGTTGAAAGTATAGGGACACTGCTCACTGCATGTAGCTCTGTGGAGAAAACCAATTGGCCAATTCACGTTACTCAAGAAAGAAAGAAATTAACACTGCATTTCCAGCTATCCACTGCTCCATATCTACCTTTCTTGCTGTGGTTCTTTTCCCATGATTCTCTTAGCACACCCATCTTGGGCTGGGGTCGTATGGCCTGTTTCCATGGCAGAGCCTCCCTGCTGATGATGGGTGAGGGCTTGCTGGCAGGATGAGTAAATATCTGGATAGTTTCGGCTCCTTCTTTGTGGGGCAAACCATGAGACATTTTAGTGACACGTCCCGGACTGTTGAAGGTCTTAAGACCACTGCCCATGAGGTCCACGTAAAAGGTGCCGTAGACACCGCAGCTATCGGTCACAATGGGAACGGTCGACTCCAGGCAGCTGCTGTCCTTCTTGGATGAGACTGGGAGGCCTAAGAAAACAGAGAGATTTATAAGAACACAAGTAGAACAAAAGGCTGCATCCCAAATTGCAAAATACTGTATGGGTTTAAAAGGTTTCTATGTTTCACACATTGGGCCACAGAGTCAAGCTCGGCAGTAATCCCAGGAATGAGTTGAACAAACACAGCTGTCAAATCTTATATACGATGCACTATCTGAGCGGCTTTAGCCTGCACACAGATGCCTAAGAATCTTACAGATGTAGCACCTTCAAGCTGTTCTACAACCATCACCACCCGGGCACTTCTTTTCAGGCTTTGTCTTTCTAATCACT